TATGATCTATTTACACTACCATTTGCAGAGCTTTTTGCTCATTTTCGGTTTTAGAATTTATGCTATTATCTTCGTTTTATAGATAGTGATCAGAAAAGTAAAATAAGTTGCCTAAGGTCTCAAGAGCATAAGTGTCAGCGCCTATGCTCACACTCTGCTCACCAATAGTAAAAGCTCTTCACTGTATAAAAATAGTTCCAGTAAAAGTAAATAGAAGGTTGATCAGAAAAAAATCTCCCTTTAATGATAAGAAAGTAATTTAAAATCTTTGGTTAATAGTGATCAAAATCAAAAGAACTTTTAGAAATATCCCAGTAGACTGAACAACACGAGTAGGCTGAAATGCCAAGATAGAATTCTATAATAAAGAATAATACATAGTAATATCTACAAAAGGAAAGAACCACAAATATATTTTTAAAATTGTTGAGCAATCTGGAAAACTGTAATAATAATAATGACAAATAAAGCTCAAGGACAGTGATAGAAAAAGTAAATATTTACTTGAATGTGATTTGGAAAGAAAAGCCAACGTTATTAAGAAGACTTATATTAAAAGGCTAACACTAAAAATAAATTTGTCTGGGTGCAGTGACTCATGCCTATATTCCCAGTACTTTGGGAGGCTGAGGCAGAGGTATTGCTTCGAGTTCAGGAGCTCGAGACCAGCTTGGGCAACATGGAGAAACCTCATCTGTACACACACACACACACACACACACACACACACAAATTATCCAGGTTTGGAGGTGCATGCCTGTGGTCCCAACCAGTCGTGAGGCTGAGACTGGAGAATCACTTGAGCCCTGGAGGCAGAGGTTGCAGTGAGCCGAGATCATGCCATTGCACTGCAGGCTGGGTGACAGAGCGAGACCCTGTCTCAAAATAAATAAATAAAATAAAATGAAAATAAATGTGAAGAAATTTTTATAGTATCCTTAAGACTTCTTTTTTTTTTTTCAATTCTACTACTGTTCTGCTTCAGTTTTTTCCTTCACAGCACTATTGCTCTATTGCTGGTTTCCCTTTTTCTCTTCTAGTCACAGATCTTTTAGCACATGCTAGAGGTACAGTCAAAATAGTCTACCAATATCACCCCCATTAGAAGATCATCTACTCTGCTCATTCCTTTATTTCTCACTACCTATGACCTTATATTACATTATGTGCCTTCGCAGTTAAGATATTCATCAAATTTTTCCTTCTGAGCTTATTTGTCTTTCAGCTCTATATGCAATTTTTTAAACGTATCCTATTTTTATATTTTAGTATCTTTTTATAGTTTAAATAGATATTTTAATAGAATTTTCCACAATAGGATTACTGCATTTCATGTAGAATTTTCAGTTTGTTTAAGACTAGATTCTTGGTCCTAATATGGTTAAAGAAATTGAATTATATACAAATGTTAAGGGAGAAAAACCTACCAATATGTGCTTAAGTAATAGCCAACGAAGGCAAAATGAAGACCGTAGCAGTAGAAAGAGCATTTTCAAAAATACGGACTGGTACTTAGTTCTAAGACTTTGGGCAAATGTTTTAACAGTTTCTGAGTAGCAAAATGGTGTAAATAGTGTGGAATTCATATGTATAATCCCCGAGACATACGAGCATTTTTTGCTTTACAAACAAACATTTTTGAGTAGAGCAAATGTTTCTTACTACTTTTCTGATTTCCATTGTCTTAATCAGATTGTAACTCTTCTATAAAGACACATTTCCCCATAAGAATTCTTCTCTTTTATGAAGTTTTTAGTGAATGTTCTTTTAAGAGGGTCCTACTCTACTGAGAACAATAGGAAAATGTGAAATTTAGATGGCACAGATTTAGAAGTAGTAATATATATGGTCTCTAAGATACAGCCTAAGAAACAAAAAGCTCTATTTTCTACCATTATACCAATTAAATGACAAAGACAATCACTAAAATATAGTAATTTTAGATCATATTTCAAAAAGTGTATACACTGTATTAAACCTATTCAGTCTATAAAAGTTTTTAAAATATGCATTCCATAATACTACTAAATGGAATGCATTGCACTGATAAAAGTTATAAAGTTCTGTAGATAGTCTGTCAATGTAAGCAAATGACAAGTGATTCTAGTCCTAATGTCAGCCTGCTAATCACCACAACTAATCAGACCTGGCATTCTCATGGTTCAGTGGCCAGCAATGGAGTAAATGGCCAGTCCTTGGCATTAAGGAGTTAAATACTCCTTAGTCCACACTTTGAAAAGTTTTGCTCCATGCCCTTTTAGACAATGACTAGCTGTTAAGCTCAAAACTAATTAACATTTCAAAAACTAGTGTTAATCAGTATTAGGAAGACTCTAGGGAAACACTTCCCTGCAGAGACCCTTTTCTTCTTTTGCTTTAAAGCAATAATTTGTAAAATATTACTTTAATTTTAAGTTGTGTTTGGCACACAGTAAACAAACCCGAAAAAAAATGTAAACTAAAAGAAATGGAATCCAGGTTGGGTTCCTTATTTCTCATTCTCTTGAATAGAGGCAACTTCTATTTCCGTGATTTTACTTACCTATAGAAACCAATTCTAATAAGTACAATAATCTTGCTCTTAAATATGGGTCCATAAACTCATACCCATAGAATGTAAGAGTGGGTTCAACTTAATTCCTTACAGTATTACTCTATCACCGCTCTTACCTGCAGATTTAGTAATAGGGCTGTAAGAATGTCAAGTTCTGTAAGATTAATTTAATCTGACATAAAAATTAGTATTTAGATTTAAAAACAGTTTTTTGTGACCAAAATTCCTGCCCACTCCTTTATTTTACACATGTAAGAACTGAAGCCCAAGATCAGAGAAGTAGCTATGGATAGACATGAGTTTTGAAAATCTACTGTCTCCTCTCCTCAGTGATGAGTATTTGATCAAATGATAGTAATTGTGTGTTTAAAATTCTGGCTTCATTTAGTTGGGGTATGTAAGTAGCAGTAAACCACTATTTTCCTAATAACATATATGTAAAATATGTTTAAAGTTTTTTTTCCATAGACATATTCAGAAGGTAACATGTTTCCTTGCTAGATGCAGATTTGCGTAACACTTTTAATAAGAACTTGGTGGCATATTGGATTACATGTGGATTCTGGAGTCTCTGGGCTTATGTCCTTGGTCCTCCATGTGATAGCCATGTGTCCTTGCAGCCAAGGTCGTCCTGTTGTTTTGTTTTCACATCTGGAAAAAAGGTAGATAATAATAATACTTACCTGATGCTCACTATAAAGCTGAAAGGAAATAGTGTACATAGTCTTGCCGGGCACATAATAAAAGTTTAATAAAGTACTAAAATAGATAAAAAGGTATTTAGATGGCAAGAAGGTCAGGACCAAGTGGGAAAATCAGCTCATATCATGGAACACTGAAGTACTATAAGATGCCTCTGAAACCATGGATACATTTGTGGGGGTACTTTTCCTTTTGTGGTAGTTTTATCAAAGAAACTGCATGTGACAATATAGATATGAAGTGATGTGTTCCTTGTTACCCTGCCTTTAAAAAATGAAATAAGTGGTTCCAGAGAGTTCATGGGAAAAAAAATAATCTGAGAAAGGACCTCATACCTGTGAAGATTTCAAATGGTCACAGTGAGAGCGATGGAAGTCATCACCGACACTTTTTTTTTAACCTTACAGGTTGCATCTCACAAGCTGAGTAACAAATATAATCTTGAAGCCTATAATGATTTGAGGTTGTGGGGAAAGCGATACTGAAGACTTCTGCTTTGGTTGGCACAATGTGCTCATCTTAAAGCCCTCTATGAATTGTCTTTCTTCCTGGGAGTACAAGGCTCTGCATTGACTTAATGTAACCTTGGGGGCTTTGCAATAGATTTTTACACTTAATGACATGCAGTTCAACCAGCTTACAAGAATGTTTGGTTTAGCCACCCGAGCTGAGACAACTTTTCTCCTAAATCGAACTCATTACTAACAAAGGAAGTAGTGTTCTATGGATTTAAGTGTAGCTAAGAGAAACTCAGATTTTCTTCAGCCATTACTTAAAGATATTTTGCCTGCTGTTTTAAACCCAGTCTTGAAATGATAAAGGTGGAAGAAGGAACAGTGACACGGCCCTTCATGCCTCTTCTTTCTTAATTCTAGTAATTATACTCTTGTGATTACAAAAGAACAAAAATTGCAAGATGGTGTCCATTCTGTCTTCACGTTGAGTTTTTTGAGGCCTGCAATCCCACTGCCTCGTCTACCCTGGAGGATCCAGAGTCCAGTGTGCGTGTGTGCCACACAGTAGGAACTCTGTAAATATTTATGGTTTCTGTTCACTTTCTTCATTTATCCTATCTAAGAACGTACAGAGTAGATCTGCTTCCCATGTGTGTAATACCAGGAAGGTCAGGAAAGATTGGGAATAGAGGATGAAGACAGTCTTTCAAGTTGAAAAGCTTACCTAATTCCAAAGTTTTGTGACTTTTAGGTAAACTTGTCTCCTGATGTTTAGGCAATAGGCAAAAACTGGCCAACAAAGGATTATTTAGGAGGTAGAAAGAGCTGTAGAAAAAGTCCAAAACCAAGAATTAAAGCATAAGACCAAATAGTAAAGAATCGATGGCCTGTTGTATGCAACTCTGTGTGCATGTATTTAAAAAACATTCAAGTTGAATAAAATTGATTTTGTAAACACAAAAAGTAACTATGTATGTCAAGAATATCCATTGGGTGAAAGCAAATTACAAACATTTCTTGCAAAATATATGGTGTGTATAATATCATAGGTTATTAGAAAGCATGGAACATGGTTTTATATGTACAGGAAAATAATGAATGCCCTGAATGCACCAAATGTTCGATAATGTTTATCCCAATGGAAAGAGTTGATATCTAAGGGAGGAGGGACTTTTTCTTTTTCTTTTTCTTTTTCTTTCTTTCTTTTTTTTTTTTTTAGATGCAGTCTCTCTCTGTCATCAGGCTGGAGTAGAGTGGTGCAATCTTGGCCCACTGCAACCCCTGCCTCCTGCGTTCAAGCAACTCTTCTGCCTCAGTCTCCCAAGTAGCTGGGATTACAGGTACGCACCACCACGTCCAGCTAATTTTTGTAGAGACGGGGTTTCACCATGTTGTCCAGGATGGTCTCAATCTCTTGACCTCATGATCTGCCCACTTTGGCCTCCCAATCTGCTGGGATTACAGGCATGAACCACTGTTCCCTGGACTTTTTCTATGGAATGCCTACTTGTAATGTTTGAAACTTAGCAGCAACTATGATTTATACTTCTAATAAGATAGTGGTGAAGAGAACAAACTCTGTATTTGGATTTTTTGGGACCTTCTGATTACTAGCTAGTAGTTAATATCTACATGTTTCTGTTTCCTCAACTGTAAAATGATGATAATAATAATTCTAACCTTGTAGAATTTTGAAGGTTACATGGGATAAAATATATAAAATTTATCCAGTGGTGACTCAAGGTAGGAATATTCAGTAAATATTCCTTCACTGGTGTATTATTTATTATTAGTAGTATCATTTTTGTTACTAACCAGGAAAAGCAGAAACATTTTAAAAGACTAAAAATACACTTGGAAAGGATCTGATTAAAAACATTAATTTTAAAATTACTTTGTGTAACGTCTGTTAGATCTAGGTCTGCCTAATCTGTCCCTAGTAAGAGCTTCCCTGACCATTTTTTCAAAGTATGTCCCCTAGTTTTCCATCCCAACATCAGGTTCATTTTCTTCTTTACATGTCTCATTTGATCATTAACTACACATGTGTTTATTTATTTGTTCATCTGCTACCTTCTTTGGGAAAGTGTTAATCCCATCAGGCAGTAACGACATTGCATAGCAACACCATACAGCTCTGTATACTGAGTCTTAATACAGGGTCCAGCCATACTACATAGACCATTAATATTTGGGTCACTTCTCTTTGGCTTCATGTGACATGCACCCAGTTCCAATTTTCAAAAGAGAAGGATCTATTGGCTTGGACAAACCAACCGTGGAAAATATGAGTATAGTAGGCTTCCCTGCAGTCTAGATTCAGGGACCCTGCAGTGTCCATACGTTGTTCCTCTTTCTCTTTACCTCTTGTCACCTTTTGAAGGCTTGTTGTGTTGCAGAGGGCATGATTGCTGACAAGCCTGACACCACATCTCCATAGCCTGTCCAAAGAGAGACAGAGAACTCAACATTAGCCAAGCCTGGGTCACATGTACAATTCTTGGAGGGAGTGGGAGTTTGCAGACTATTACCCCCTGAACCCAAGGAACCCGATGCTGTTAACAGATTTTTTTTTTAAAAGGAATACTAGAAAGGGAAAAAATTTACTTTCAATAAAGTCTATTATGTAAGACAGTATAGTTGTTTTCAGACTTTTTAAGCTAGAAGTGCTTTCAAAGATTTTTCTTAAGAAATAAAATTTAAATATAAATCTTAGGCCACATTTATGTAATCTAAACAAAAGATTTTATTGAGGTGATAGAGATGAACATAAACCATTGATATCACCAACCCACTTCTCCATTGTGGCAGGAGAGCAATTGCTGAATGCAGAAATTCAGACCTAATTGTCGGGGGCCAAGGTGATAGATCACCGGTAACTGGAACTGCTTCCAATGACATGCTAAAAGTCTTCTATACTTCCATCCTTGGGATCCAAGTCATGGAAGCATGCAAGAAAGAAAACCTTACAACTGATTCTTCCATAGCAATTTCCAGGATTAAAGTGGCGTAAAAACCTCATATGACATCAAAAATCCAATAAAACAGAATTTTGTCTTTATGTTAGACTCTATTATATATTTATGACTTGGAAAAGAAGCTCAGGAAACATTCTCTATCCAAAGTAATATTATAATTGAATTATGTTTAAAAGAAATGGGACAATATGATGCCCATCTTTCTTTTTCTTTTTGTTATTATTTTTACTCTTTATCTACTGCTGCTCTACCTACTATAGACATAAAATTAATAAGCCTGAATGACTGAATTGAGAAATTAGTAAGACTTGGCTTCTGAAATTTCTAGCAAAGGTTTTTCAGAATTAAAGATGGTTGTCTTTGAATGCCTAATGTTTATATTGAAATAATTTTAGCCTTTGATGTTAGAAGGTTATATAAAATTTCTGTGGTTTTGTACTTGATAGCCATATATTATTTTTAAAAAGTACTTATGAAAGGTGATGGTAGACTTGGTGTTGTTCCATGATCCATGAATGGACACACACAAGGTCGTTAACTGATGGAGGAGGTTCGCCAAGGAAAATCTACTGCTTTGATAAATGCAGATGATGATTAAGTATGTGACATTGTTCCCATTTATTTGGTGCTGATTCAATCAGTGCCCCCAAGTCAGCCTGATGCAATGGGCTACTGTAGATGTGGTCTTCTGAATAAGGCAGAGTGTTAAAATGAGGTCATGACCACTTTTCATGGGACTTTTTTTGCTTGGCTACATTCCAGTTTCCCTAATTAAAGTCTGTCTTTCTAAGACCCCTTTACAGTTTTAATTGGGTATGTTATTTCTTGTGAATTGTATGGAATTGTTATTCACTGTCATAAGCAGGGGCTGTATTTCACCATAGAGGTGTTGCAGTTCATCATAGGGATCAAAGGAAGGGAAACATGAATATAACTTTTTTAAAAGCATTTTGCAATGCTTTGAGCTCTTTGGAAGAAAGCAGTATAAAGGAAAATAATGGTGTTCTTAAAATGTAAAGTATTGCTATTATCATTTGTGAACGAAAAGCTGAAGATTGATAATGTGTTTTCTAGTGAAGTTCAGGAAAATATTATTTTACTGTTTCAGAAAAAGGACATAAATATTATTATTTGCAGATTTATGAAAAAAAATGTTGTTGTTATCTCTGAGAAGTCTCTTTTTTTATCTGTGTTTAGGGAAAATTGTTGGAACTCCTAAGCTTTTATACTAGTTTCTTAGTGTTGGGAAGTCTACTATACCTGTCCCTTAGCTTTTATGTTAGCTAAGTTTTGATTTACAGTTAATTTTATCTTTCTTCTATACAGATTGACAATCTATATTGAACAAATATGCTCTTAAAAATAATAAATTTTCACATCACACTGAGTTTTTGTTTAACCTATTTAGTTGTCTTAATTGATTAGCTGAATTACACCTCTTGGGGGGTGCACACCCACACACATACACATAAACACATACAAAACAACAGACTCTTTAGTAAAACGTTGAATGGAGGAAGGTGTAAAATACCGCTTTCTACTCCAGATATAATAACCGATAAAGTTATCGATTATTTTCCATGTATTTTTATTTGTTATAATCAAGAAATAAAGATGATTTAAGAGAAAACAGTAAAATAAAATGCATTAAAACTGAGGACAAAAAAGAAATATGAATAGATATATTTAGAGATGGAAACATGGTTGCTGTAAAAATTAGTTCAATGATACATATTTGCTACAGGTAGATTGCCAAGTTGGCTCTATGCTTTTTAACAATTAACACAAAACACATAAACAAAGCAAAACTTAGTTACATAGTTCACTTTATTGCTAAGATAAACACAAATTGCTCAGAAATATAGAACCATTCCTGTTCCTGAAATTATTGGGGATTTTTTTTTTCTCCTTAGCATTCCCCCAAAGAAAACACTTTGCAATTTAAGAACAGCCTCAATAACATACTTATGGGAGAGAGGATGATTTTCTGAGCTTGTTCATTGCAAAGACCTTGAAAATAAATGTACAGTATTGCACAAGAACACAATCCAATAGAAGACTTTTGGCTTTTGCTACCCAGATAACACATAGTATAACTCACTTTTGTGCCACACTTGTCTGACGGCTAAGTTCATGACGGTCACTTTAACCATACTACACTGGCCAATATGGCCGCACGAGACTCAGCATAATGCCGATTATGCAATAACATGAGAATAATGACACATGACAGAGCCATCTCACAACATAAATTGCATGAATTTATATATACAAAAGTTCACATATAAATACCCAGTAAGAAAGAAAACCCAACACATTTCTATCTCTACATCCTGTTTTATTTTTCTTTGTGACACGTAACACTTATAACTCCCTGAAAAAAATACATGTGTGTACACACACACACACACACACACACATCTCAGGAACATGGAACTGGATTAATCATAATCCTTGGTTCTTAACATACTACCATCTTTGGTCCTTGCATTTTCCTCATTTTCATGCATTCATTCAATCATTTGATCAAAACATAATGAACACCCCTGAATGCAATATCCAACCCTACATCTAAAACAATACAAATAAGCTCCACTAATGTGTTCTTTCTCTTTCATTCCTCTTGCTTTCCTCAGAGACAGCTAAACACCATGCTAAACTCTGTGTATATTATCTTCTGTTTGAACACACACACATGCACATGCTCAGTGATTTTTAAATTATTTTTTAACTTTATAACAAGTCTTTACGATGAACGAAATATTCTGAGGCCCACTTCTTGTGCTCAAGTCCAATCCATCTATGTTGCTGCATGATATTGTTGTAGTTATTTGGTTCCTGCACTGCATAATATTCTATAGGATCAATATCCCAAATTTGTTTTTACTATTTGCTACCTATGGTAGGTTCCAATCTTCTATTATTAACAGTGGTGTCGTGTCCACTTTTGTACATATCTCCTGGTGCAAATGTGCAAAAGTTTCTCTTGAGTTATGTACCTATGAATAGAATTGCTGGGTTACAGGTTATGTTCAAATTACAAGTAAAAAACAAATGGTCATCCAACTTTCACTTCTCCCAGCCATATTCAAGATATCTTGTTGGTCTATCATCTCTAATATTTCCATAAGACTTCTTAACATTTGCCAAACAAATGAGTATTAAAAGGTATTTACTTTTGGTGGCATTTCATTATTTATTGATTACTTGATTCTTTCCATTAGAATATAATCCTCATAAATCCTGGTAGTTTGTCTTTCTTGTTATTTTATTTTCAGAACCTATTATAGTGTCTGATACCTAAGACATGTTCAATCAATAATTGTTAAGTGAACAAATACGAAATTATGCATCGTTGATTA